TGTTTAGTCATGCCGGCCACATGACCACGGAAACGTCTTCGGACAGCGCTGGCTCTTCGGCTTTGAAACGGAGATGAGCACCGCAACCCTAGAGTCGGACTCGGCTGGCTTTCGAGCAAGTGAACCTTTACCTTTAATGTGCAGAGGAGCCCAGGTGTTGGAGTCTTCCCCTTTGTCGTTGTTCCAAGAAGTATCTGCAGTGTTTACCTCTCAGTACTAAACGCAAGTTCAAACAGCAACGGCTAAGTTGCCGAAGCTGAATGAAGCACAAAGCCAGTTTGCATGAATCAGCCAGATCGCGTGGTTAAGCTTTTCTGGACTTCATAACGCCGGGGCCTGCAGGTTTGAACGCAGGGGTGGGGGTTCATCCTGCACCCAGAAAATGAGCAAGAGGGATAAGGGATGAACTTTGTCTTCTCATCAATATCATCTGTTTCCCCGCAGTGGCATTCATTCACAGGGAAGTATTCAAATATGACAACCAGTGTTGCCTCTAAGCTGAGTTGCTGTGAGCTAGCTCACAGTGTTTTAGCCTCCAGCTCACAGATTTTTGCCTTCGCTCAGGAAGGAGGGCTCCAGAGCAAACTAATTTCTGCAGCAGCCAAATCGCTCGCTCACAACTTCAATGCCAGTCGCTCACAAAGTAGAGTTTTTGCTCACAAGACTCCACAGCTTAGAGGGAACGTTGATGACATCGCTCCTGCCGGTTGACTTTACGGTGTGTTGAATCTGAGTTGTGAACGGCAACGGTGGATGACACTCACCTTCTCGGCTGCTATGTCGATGGCCGACTGGTTATAGAAGGAGGTGACGGTCTTGGATCTCTCACGGGCCAGCTCGTGGTGTTGGTCAACAGCTGAAGTGGACCGATACCGGAGGGCGGGCAGAAGGAGCGGGAGCACACAGGGAGACCTGCTCCCCACTGCCCCCAGGTCCACCATCAGCAGTGATTTCCACATCATTCTGTCTTCCACAGGCACCTGGAGACAAGACAGAAGGAAGAAGAAGAAGAGAAGAGATTGGATTTATACCCCGCCCTTCACTACCCAAAGGTGTCTCAGAGCGGCTTACAAACTCCTTTCCCTTCCCCTCCCCACAACAGACCCCCTGTGAGGTAGGTGGGGCTGAGAGAACTCTGACAGAAACTGCTCTTTTTCAAGGACAGCTGTGCCAGAATTATGGCTTGTCCAAGGTCATCCAGCCAGGTGCAAGTGGAGGAGTGGGGAATCCAAACCCGGTTCTCCCAGATTAGAGTCCGCGCACTTAGCCACTACTATAGTACAGTTAGGACAACTGTACTATACATAGCACGCGTGTCCTGAGATCTAAGGTAGTTCCATCCGGCTTGTGACATTTTTTCAGGCATCTGTCTGGCCACCTTCAGAAGACACTGGGGAGGTGCTGTGGCTCAGTGGTAGAGCATGTGAATACAGAAGGTCCCAGGTTCCATCCCTGGTATCACCAGCTTAAAAAAATGACCTAGTAGGTGATGCGAAAGATCCCGGAGAGTCACTTCCAGACTAGACAAGACTGATCTTGAAGAATCAGTGGACCAATTCACCTGACAGAGTTGCAAGTTAGATGGAATGTGGATTGATCAAGCAGGGCAATCTGCATACTCCTACGGCTGGCCTCATTGGCCACATCCCACCCGGCCTGCATTTTGCTAAGACGCTTAGCTTGACCACTGAGATGGTCTTCCCATGGGACAAGATGACAACTCTCTCACCATGTTATGTTTTGGGCACCACAAACAGCAGAGCGGGGAGACAAAGATCTGACATACGTGACTAACGGTGTTTTCTAACCCACTGAAATGATCAAAATCGGCACAAATGTGAAGCAGTTTGCCCTCACAACTCTTCCAAAGTTGTGGATCTATCAAAACGTTGGATGCAACCTTTCCAGCTGAGGGCAATATGCCATGAACAGTTTGTGGGATGGTGCAGCCGGATACTATGTGGCATGTATATGTAGGGAAGAGGAAGAGGAGGAGGAAGAAGAGGAAGAGGAGTTGGATTTATATCCTGCCCTTCCCTTGGAGTCTCAGAGCAGCTTACAATCTCCTTTCCCTTCCTCTTCCCACAACAGGCACCCTGTGATGTAGGTGGGGCTGAGAGAGCTCTGAGAGAACTGCTCTTGAGAGAACAACTCTGAGAGAACCGTGACTGACCCCAAGGTCACCCAGCTGGCTGCATGTGGAGGAGTGGGGAATCAAACCCGGTTCTCCAGATTAGAGTCTTCTGCTCTTAACCACTACACCAAACTGGCTCCCAGTTGGGGCTGTGGACAAACTCAGCCAGGGTGCCTGGATTCATGCCCTGATGCAAACTGGTGTCCTCTTCTGATGCTAGGAGAAGCCTGGTGGCCTTTCCTCTACAGCCAAAACATCATGTACTTACCTCCTAAGGTGACAGGTTACAGGGACGTTTCTGCCCCCCACAGATTTCAGCACTGTCGCCTCTGGTAGGGCCTCCGTACATTCCCTAGAGTGAGAAGACAGCACAAAGCTGATTCACACACACAGGCACCCCTCTTTATTACCAGCCACATTGCCAACCGATCTCCCCCTGCCCACCAATCACCTCACAGCAAAAGCCATGCGGTGTGCCGGATCATTCCAAGGGACCTTCTATTCAGAGCCCCACACAACCCAAGCATGACTCAAGTATCACATTTGCTACAGATGGGTTATCATTCAGACACTGAATCTCCACAAGGGGCGGCACCATCCCCCTTCTCTTAAACCGACAGAGTTCCATTCCCAAGGCTGACAACTAGTTTCATTGACTCTGGCCTCAAAACGAATCAAATATAAATCTGATGTGACTTGGGAGGATGAGGCCAGAAACAAGAAGCAATATTTCTTTCAAATCCAACCGAAATGTAGGGGAGACCTCACAGAAACCAACTTACCTCAAGTAAACTTGGCTACCTTAGGCCAGTTTCCTTGGTCTATAAGGACAAGAAACTCTGTTTCCATCTGAAAAAGCAGCAAACATTGAGTGAAAATCCAATTAATGTATTAAAGAGCAGAACCTTCTACTGTTACAGGAGTCACCAAGGGGTATTTGTGTATTTCCTGCATTGTGCGGGGGGGTTGGACTAGATGACCCTGGAGATCCCTTCAAACTCTATGATTCTATGATTCCCAAGGCTGAGATAAGAGGCCCAGGTGACTTCCTGCTCATTGCCAGTGCAGGATTACTCCTGTCAGTAACCCTTCTGGGAAAAATTCATTTTAACATATTTATATTCCATCTTTCTACCCAAGACAAGCCCCCAATGCAGCTAACAGGATAACGAGCCATTCCTTAAAACAGTTAAAATAAACACAGAAATAAATTCAGTCTATACACTTATAACAACTAAATGGAAGTGCTGAAAAATGTTGAATAACCAAAATTATCAAAAACTTACCAACAGCCAAAGAATTGTCAGATTTTAAAGAAAACCCCCGAATTCTGCTTTTCTTGGGACCCAAATCCCATCCCTAAGCCTGCATTCTTCAACTGTGGAAAACCTCTCGTTGCCTCGTCTATATACACACACCCTTCTGGACAGCCCTAATTTCCTGAGAGGCAGGAGACGAGATTTAGGAATCCTTTCTGCCTGCCAGATAAAACTCCCCCCGCCACAAGTGGGAACATAAGTTACCAATCATGGCCATCAACCCCAAATCATCCATTCTCCTCCTCCTCTCCCTGTTCCCAACATTCATATTCTTTACTGGAAAGTAGGCAGGTAGGATTAAGACTCAAAATTACTTCAAATTAATTCGAAAATGTCTATCCCTTTCTCTTTCTGCCCCGAAACAAAAATTAAAGTAGAAAAAAACCTTTCCCATTTTGATTTAAGTTACAGATTGATGACACACACATCCAGAAATACTGGACACTTTACACCAGATTATAACATCCATGAAGAGTTTTGTGTGGACTTCCGGTTTAAGCGTTTCGCCGCTCGGTCGCGTCCCGTCTTGCTCTGATGGAGATGCGCCGAGACCCGGCTGACGGGAGGGGTCCGAGTTTGTCCCGGACCTCCCCGGGGTCTCTATAAGAGACCCCCAGCCTGGGGAGCTGAGGAGAGCCAAGGTGATGGCCAAGGAATTGAGACTCACCTTCTTCCCCGAAAGGTACCGTCGCCGTGGAGTTAGTATGGCGCCCAGAGACGACTGCCGGAGCAAGCAATCACGATCAAACTTTTAAAAATGCTTCCAAAAGATCTCCAAGGCTCCAAACTGTGAGTTAAGCAAAGCTCAGGTGAAAAAAAGCTATTTGAACCTCGGTAGTAATTGGACGCGCCTAAGTTTGAAGCGCCGGGGGAGAGGTATTCAAGCACCCTCCCCTTTGGAGTAAACTTTTAAAACGGTTTTAAATCGGAAATAAAAAGACTTTGAGCTAAAATAAATGCATAAGAAGTTAAGTGAATACAAAAACTGCTAAAGTATACAAAGCGGAACTAAATCGCATAACTTTTGTCTTGTTTTGGAAAACTTAATTCTTGTTGATATTATGGCTGGGAGAGGACAGAGGGCGCCGGAGAAAAAACTGGTGACCGGAAATAACATACCAACGACTCCCTCCCAGAACCAGGAAGTAACTACAGACTTCTCTTCACTGTTAGCAAATGCACTGCGCCCTCTAATGGATCAGATGACTAACCTCAACACTAAGCTGGATAGTGTCCAAAAACAATTGAACCAAATGGATAAAAAAACCTTAGCAACTGAGAAAATGTTGAAAAAGATGGAAAAACAGACTGAGAGCATTAATAAAAGAGTGGATGAAGCAGAGAAGGAAAGATCTTCTGATAAAACGCAACTATTACAGCTCCAGCTGGAAAGATCCATGTATGTTCTACGTTTCCTTGGGATTCCCGAAGAGAAGAATGAAGATTTAAAAGAACTTTTGGCGGTCGCCTTGGCCCCATTAATGGATTATAAACAAGAAGATTTAATAAAAGAGATGGATGTGGCTTACAGGACTTATCCAGATTTTATAAAGAAAAATAAACTCCCAGGGGAAATTTACCTAAAATTCACGAAACGATCTACCAGAGAACTGGTGCTAAAGTCAACAATGGGAAAATCCCTAAAAATTAAGAATGAAGACGTAAAAATTTTGAAAGACACCCCCTTTGAAGTTAGAAAACGGAGGAAACTCTACAGGATGCTTACTCTCACTCTGCAAAAAAAGGGAATAACATATAGATGGCTATTCCCAGAAGGGCTCAGCTTCAATTACCAGGACAAAAAATATAAAATTGACTCTGTTCCAAAAGCGGAAAAATTTATGGACCAAATATTCAATACAAAAAAGAAGCAGAAGGAAAACAATTTAAAACCGGATGGGGAGGAAGAAGA